GTAATTACGTCATACAATGCGTTCGCGCCAAATATATGTTTTTATATTCTCTGTCTTAAAAACGTGTGTATTCAAACAGAACATGGTGTCAGGAAGGGATTTTCGCCGCTAAAGTTTGTTTATAACCGAATTTTTATATATCTAATCGTTTGATCGTTCTTCGTTGACGTTGTGTCTCGCTTTGCCTCGAAATTTGGTAGATTTTACTTGGATTTGATCGTCATTTATGGATAAGCTTCAACCACCGCCGCCATTTTCCTTTGAAGGAAATGTATCTCATGGCTGGAAAATATGGGAAAAACACTTCAATTTTTATCTCACTGCTACTGAATCAGATTCAAAGAGCGATAAAGTGAAAACCTCCATTCTCTTAACCTGCATTGGACCCAAAAGACGCGAAATTTACGAGACATTTACCTTCTCACAAGAAACTGACAAGCTGAAACTCAAGGTCGTATTAGAAAAATTCAGTGCATATTGTAATCCTAGAAAGAATATCACTATACTTCGCCATCAATTCTTTACCTACAGCCAACACGAAGGTCAGTCTTTCAACGATTTCGTCATAGAACTTAAGAAACGAGCCTCTGAGTGTGAATTTGAGACTTTAGCTGATTCACTGATTAAGGACATGATTGTTTGTGGGGTAGCTGATCAATCCCTCCGTGAAAGACTCTTACGCGATGCGGATTTAACCCTTGCCAAGGCCATTGATGCCGGTATTGCTGCAGAGGAAACCAAGCGTCACGCAAAAGAACTCGAAAAACATCAACAATCGTCAGATATTCACCAAGTTTATCATTCAAAAGAAAGAAAACTCAAAGAATCTAGCAGAGCCCCTGATGACGTCATCAAGAAATGTAAGTTTTGTAATGGCTCCCACCAACGTGGCAACTGTCCTGCCTACGGGAAACGGTGTAGAACATGCAACCGTAAGAATCATTTCGCTGTTTGCTGTTCCCAAAAATCTGTCAAATGTGTTACTGAGCAGGATAAGTCCTCTGATGATGACTTTTTCATCGATATGGTTAAAGTCACTGATACCAATCAGAATCTCTCAACTGAAGGTGATGGTGAAAACACCCCAATTCCCAAATCCATGCCAACCAATGCTAGTCCCAATGTTTTCACAGTTAACAATACCAAATCAGATTGGTCTGTCACACTGGGCGTGAATGGAACTGATGTCAATTTCAAGATAGATACTGGAGCCCAGTGCAATGTAATTCCAAAGCGCCTACTTTCCAACCTCTCACCTAGACCTAAGCTCAAAACAGCAAACGTCCAGCTCTCTGCATATAATGGCACAACTATCCCTGTTGCTGGTAAGTGCATTGCTCAAGTCAAACACAGGAGACAAACAATTCCCATTCTCTTCATGGTTGTAGATTCAGACTCAGTCCCCATACTAGGATTAAATACATGTGACAAACTGAACTTGATCAAACAAGTGTATCAAATTTCAGAGGAAGTGCAATCTCATACTCCTATTGAGGAGGAATTCTCTGACTGTTTTGGAGAAATTGGATGTTTGAAGAGAACACATCACATCGAACTAAGAGATGATGTGAAACCTGTAATCATTCCTGTCAGACAAGTACCCTTTGCTCTAAAGCCAAAGCTCAAAGAGGAATTGCAACGTATGGTTGAGCTCAATGTTATTGAACCAGTCGAAAACCCAACCGAATGGGTCAACGCCTTAGTCATTGTCTCCAAACCAAATGGCAAGCTGCGGATATGCTTAGATCCTCGACCCCTAAATAAAGCCATAAAGAGGCAACACCACCGTCTACCCACAACCGAAGAAATAATCTCTGAAATGTCAGGTGCTCGGTACTTTTCCAAGCTTGATGCTGCCTCCGGATATTGGCAAATAAAAGTAGATGAAGATAGCGCAGACTTACTAACCTTCGGAACTCCATTCGGGCGTTTTCGCTTCAAACGCCTCCCATTCGGGATACACTCTGCCAGCGAAGTCTTTCAAGCAGAAGTTGCCTCAATCATAGCTGATCTACAAGGTTGTGCCAACTCCCAAGATGACATCATTGTGTGGGGAACAACTAAACAAGAGCACGACCTTCGCCTCAGAGATGTACTGACACGTATCCGAGTCAGTGGATTGAAGCTCAACCGAAGCAAATGTGTCTTTGCCGTAGAATCCCTCACATTTCTGGGACACACCCTTTCTGCTAATGGTGTTAAGCCTGATCTCTCCAAAGTTGAAGCAATCGTCAACATGCCAATTCCTGAATCGAAAGGTGATCTTCAACGATTCTTGGGTATGGTGAATTATCTGGGTAAATTTGTCCCCAACCTCTCACAAACCACCACTCCACTTCGTGAAATGCTCAAAAAAGATGTTCATTTTGACCTCCAGCAACCACAACTGGACGCCATCCAAGAGCTGAAACGTTTGGTCACTTCACCTCCATGCCTCAAGTTTTATGATCCAAACCTGCCTACTCGATTGAAACCTGACGCAAGTGCTGATGGTCTTGGTGCCCTCCTTGAACAAAACCATGGTTCAGACGATTCTCCCCAATGGTTCCCCATTGCCTATGCATCTAGAGCATTGTTACCATATGAAAGAAACTATGCACAAATCGAAAAAGAAGCCCTCTCGATTGTATTTGGAACGGAACGCTTTCATGAGTACCTCTACGGTCATCACTTCACTGTATTCAATGATCATCAACCACTCAAGTCAATCTTCAGTAAATCCATCACTCAATGTCCACCAAGAATACAGCGCTTCTTCATGAAGCTTCAAAAGTATGACTTCAACCTTGAATATTCTCCTAGCAAAACCATGGTCGTCTCAGATGCACTCAGCAGGGCCTACCTCAACAACCAATCAACTGAAATTGATCAACCTGATTTGATTCACTGTATCCAATTCACTTTCGACAACCTTCCCATCAGCGATGCTCGCCTGACTAAATTTCAGAAAGAGACAGCCTCTGACACTACATTACAGCAACTCAAGGAATACACTCTTAAAGGATGGCCACAACAACGTGACATTTCTCAAACAGTCAAGCCATACTACAACATCCGTGATGAAATTGTTTACAACAACGGCTTACTCCTCAAAGGTCAACGCATCATCATCCCAACATCACTGCGCAGCACCATGAAAGCAATCATACACCAGGGCCACACTGGCATTGAAAGTTGCAAAAATCGTGCGCGAATGTCTGTCTATTGGCCCGGAATAAACGCACAAATTGAAGATCTTGTTTCTAACTGTTCACTTTGCCTAACCTACAGAAACAAGCAACAGAAGGAAACTCTGATTCAACCTACGGTTCCAAATGCACCATGGACAAAAGTTGCCTCAGACCTGTTTTCCCTTTATGGACATGACTACGTTATCGTTACGGACTATTTCTCAAAGTACATTGAAATTGAACGACTCACCGACAAATCGAGCGCCACTGTGGTTAATAAAATTAAGAAGATTTTTACTCGACATGGCATTCCTAAAGAGCTCTGTTCCGACAATGGTCCAGAATACACAGCGGCATGTTTCAAACAGTTTGTCCAAGAATGGGACTTTAAACACACTACTTCAAGTCCTCACTTTTCGCAGTCCAACGGTTTCGTGGAAAGAGCAATCCAAACTGTTAAGAAGAGTTTGAAAAAAGCACATGATGGCAACAAGGACCCTTACCTTGCCTTGTTAGTCCTCAATACCACTCCTGGAAACGACAACAAGTCACCAGCTGCGCGCCTCTTCGGTCGTCAACCACGTTCCACATTGCCTTCCCTAATCCAACCTGCATTTCCTCCTCCCCCTCCTCCCAAAGACACCCGAGCGAAGACAAAAGAAAGATATGATCAACACGCTAAAGATCTACCTGATATCCAACCAGAAACTGTTGTTCGAATCCGTGCGAAGGAAGATGAGAAATGGAATCAACTTGGTAAAGTCGTGGAGAAGTGTGCCGAGCCAAGGTCCTATCGTGTCCTCAATGACAAAGGAAACATTGTGAGACGCAACCGCCGCCACCTTATCCCGTGTAAGGACAGATTCCAGATCCGGAATGACTTTGATTATGATGATCTAGAAGTGACAACTCGACCCAGTTCTCCAGAACCACCAAACGAAATCGTCACAAGATCTGGTCGAGTCGTTCGAAAACCGTCTAGATATAGCTAGACAAATAAACGTTCATTCACACAAACTTTATTAACTTTATACTTGTTTAATCTCCAACGGGAGATGTTACATATTTGTTTTGTTATTCTGACGTATGTTATTTAAGTCTTGTAATTACGTCATACAATGCGTTCGCGCCAAATATATGTTTTTATATTCTCTGTCTTAAAACGTGTGTATTCAAACAGAACAGGGGGGAGGGGGTTTGAAAAATCAGGACAAACTCGGACATAGGGGGGAGGGGGGGTTTTTAGCAATCCGGATGTCCGAAATTTAAAAAAATTCAAAAACAAATTTCTTTTTCCCCTCTATTTTGAGCAGTCTTTCCCATTGTGAAATTGGCATTTTGACTATGCGGTTAACACTAGATTTTGTTTTAATTAGTAATTTATATGTTTTTGTGTTCACATTTACAGTTATAAAAAAGTTCTAAAAGTAAAAGTTTTTTACTCTTGATATATACAAAATTGCGTGAGTTTTTGCGAGGCATGGCGGATGTCCGGGGGGAGGGGGGGGTCACTAATTCGGACAATGCCGGACAAGGGGGGGAGGGGGGGTCTGAAAATCCATCATTTGGCCGGACATCCTTTGTGAATGGCCCCTTAAATATTATTTTTCATTTTTCACTGATAAATTACACATTATTTAAAAAAATGAGCTTGTCTTTAGCGCTTTTAGTTTTCTCTGGAGGCCTCGCATAAGTTAGGTTATGCTAATGACGTATGGACCAACCCCCCGTAAGCGGGATTTCCCCTTTGTTTACTACAGCTCGAAAATTGATATTGGGCATGTCAATGCTCGAAATAGACAGTACCAGGTAGTGAAGTGAAATGAATTCGTTTAATGAAAAAAACGTAAAATAACATTTTAAATATTAATTATCGGTTGGTTTAACTCCACTACGTCTGTACGACATAAAACAGACATAAAACACTCCTACACGAGTAGGAGTGTTTTATCGACGACAACGAGTGTTTTGAATAGCTTAAAATACGCCTACAAAAGAATACTAATTAGGATGAACCATTATTATATAAGCCCCGTTTACACTACGCTCAATTTTTGGTACATCACGGATAAAATTGGCCGTACCCGTACCACTTTTTTGGTTCTTGGACGGTCTATTTAGCTAAGCCCCGTTTTACACTACGCTCAATTTTTGGTACCGTACCACTTTTTGGTTCTTGGACTACCTAAATAGGTAGTCGAAGAACCAAAAAAGTGGTACGGGTACCAATTTTATCCGTGCCGTACCAAAAATTGAGCGTAGTGTAAACGGGGCTTATAATCATATACTAATTAATTAGGATGAACAATTCAGTTATATAATGCCGCATGCTTTATCAGATATAAAGTCACTCCACGTGACCTGATTATGGCTGACATGATTTGCCACAAGGTTTATGAATTATTATAAAATTAATGAGTATTTTACAGGTAAGTATATATAGACAATCGTTTTAAAGGATGAACTGGTTAATATAAGACACGCTAGAAACGAATATGCTATAGCGAAATTGTGACCATATTTGATCAATTGATATTTATTTTATCATATTATTAAGCCCGCCGCACACGAGCGCACTTGTCGTGCGTACTTGGGGTAGGGATAAAACGCGGAACCGGAATGCGGATTCCGTAAGCGGATTCCGGAAGCGGATTCCGCAAATGAGGATAAAACGCGGATTCCGCAAATGAGGATAAAACGCGGATTCCGCATTTGAGGATAAAACGCGGATTCCGCAAATGAGGATAAAACGCGGAATTGCGTAAAAAAGGACGAGAAGCAGAATAGTGTATAAAAAACTTAAATTATTACTTTTTAAGGTCACAACCACTAAAAAGCGATTGGCTAAAGTTACCTAGTTACCCTAGGCCTAACTGTTGAAGTCTCACATGCATGCATTAGTGTTGGGGGTGGGGGAGGACTGTGACTTTTTGGACTATTTCTTAAAATTATGGAGGGAGGTGGAAAATCGTATTTATCAAGAGCGTCTTCATTTTTATCTAAGTTTCTTTGTTAATGCTTGTAATATTCGGGCTTCGAGCATAATATGAAAAATATCGGGTAAATATTCAGTTGGACATTTGATCGCTTACACGCGTTTGCTAAAACATGAATTATTTTAGCAAAAGCAGTGTGTGAGCGAAAAAATGGAAATTTGAATTGATAAATAGATAGATAGATAGATAGATAGATACTATCGCCGGTATTCTAAAAGCTCACTCGTACTCACACTCAATGAGTGGAAGTTCCGATCTGAGCACATACTATCGCCGGTATTCTAAAAGCTCACTCGTACTCACACTCAATGAGTGGAAGTTCCGATCTGAGCACATAGTAAGGTATGACACTAGCCCTCCAGCTATTCAAAAACAGCATTGACACTCAAGAGAAGCTCAGATTGAACCTCTACTCTTTGAGTGTGAGTGAGCTTTTAGAATACGGGCGTTTATTTAAAGAGGGTATACGTGACACTTAATAGTGCGAAGTACCAATGAGGTATATATGACATTACATTTATATAAAAGGGAACATTAGCTATGTTACAATTGGAATCACTAATCCTTAAACAGTGCCAGTGGATCGAAGCTATATTATACGCATTCGCATATTTGCATTTTTATTGCATAAAAGGTTCTCTTTTTTGTGTGAACAAGAGATTGTGATTTATTTTTTATTAAACTGTTTCATATAAATTCACCAAAGCCAACGTGATTTATTGTGCCGTGTATTTATTTCAAAATAAAATAAGGCAATCCCCGACAATATTGATCTTTAAGTTGAGCTTTCCGTCCAGTGGAATGTCATTCGCTGTTCTGAAACGAATTTATAACTTTATAACTTAATCAAGTAGAGCAGAAATCAATTGGAAGCAGCTAAAATTACGGCTTATTCGCAAGACATATAACGCTTGTTGAACCACACAGAATATGAACTTTGTGTCGGATTACTAGGTAATCATGTTTTTTGTCGGATTACTAGGTGTTCATACGCATTGTAATTAAGGTTTCCTTTAATTGCGTCACAACATTCCTTTAGTTACTTGCCGCCTGGCCACATCCTGCTGCGTTCTTGACTTCAGTTCGAAGTTCGAACGCATAATATGAAAAATATCGGTTAAATATGCAGTTGGACATTTGATCGCTTACACGCGTTTTGCTAAAACAGAAATTATTTTAGCAAAAGCAGTGTCTGAGGGAAAAAATGGAAGTTTAGAACATTTTTCGACCCACAACTTTTACCCACGACCCACGACTTTTTACGTACGACTTTTTACCCACGACGCACGACACACGACCAAAACTCAAACTCGATTGATAGCGCATGTAACAAACGTATCATATTACGTTTTATTATACTAAAACTGTCAGACGCTACATGTGCTCGGTATTCTTATCATGACAAATTTTATTCAAGTTCGAGTTTTTCTGAAAACCGACCTATTATCTAGTTCTGATCTCGGGTATTTCAAAAAGTTTTAAACTACCGACTCTTAATCTTACTAAGAGGAGGAAAATTACACATGGATTACCAACATTTAAATGGGAAGATGTCAAGGATCTTCAACCTCTCGGTGTTGGCAGCTTTGGCTCTGTGTATTGTGCGAATTGCCTCTTTGGTGACGAAGACAGAAAGGTTGTCGTAAAAAGGTTACGAGGAGAATCAATGGAAACCAGAAGTCGTTTTATAAAAGAGGCAGAAATGCTGCATTCAATTAATCACGCAAATTTTCCCGAATTCTATGGATTCTCAAATGATCCTTATGGGCTTATGATGGAATATGCAACATTTGATTTTAAACCTTTCGACGTAGAGAAAACGGTAAGCAACTTGGAAGACTTTTATACCTTCATTGATCGTGAGTTCGATTTTACATCATTTTCGGACGTCATTCCGGTCTGTTTAAGAGATGTTGTAAACGCGTTAAAAGTTCTACATGACATGGATATTTCGCACCGTGATTTGAAACCTAGCAATGTCCTGGTTTCAAATCAACATTATTGCCATATGTCATCATTTTCTTCAGAGTACGAGCGCAATCCTATCATATGCAAAGTCGCTGATTTTGGTTTGAGCAGATCTTTAGAAACGCAAACTCGCTCGATCATTCAATCTCGAACCAATGATATTTGCCGAGGCACACCAGTGTATATGGCACCTGAAATTCATAACAGAAAATTACAACAGGCTTCTATAACCGATTTGAAGAAAACGGATGTTTGGTCTCTCGGTTTGCTCTCATTTTCCGTCATTAATCCTAATTTAAGCAGCCCATATCGGAAAGTGATTGAGGAATTAGGTGTTGACTTCAGCCTAGACACAATGAAAGAAATTATAACCGACGAAAAACTGCCTGTACATGATAACAAATATGAGTCAATTCGCGTGGCAGAATGGGGGCAAGCGGAAGAATTGTTTTCTAGGTGTTGCAGGTTTGATCCTGAGTTACGACCGTCAATTGAAGAACTTATTCCAATTGTAAATATGAACGACCCAGAAGCATCCTTGGACATAACACAACTAAGTGTAAGCCAGAGTTCTGCTCTGGAAATCGCAGATGAGATAATTTCCCAACAAGCTGTCATAAACGCAGGACAAGATCTTGCACATGAGAATCGTCCTGAAAATGATGGAACAAACGCGTGCACTTTTCTTGCACTTGCTATATGTGATTCATTGTTCGCCACCTTACGAGGGGAATATAGCCAATCGTATCAATCATGGAGTGAGATCGCAAGATTAGCAGACCATATCATCAAAGATTTTCCAACGAAGATCAATCAACTTCGGAACGCATCAGAAACATACGAGCTATCTGAAGCGAAGGTCATGCTTGAGTCAAATAACCTGCTTTCAAAGAAATACCAACTGACCGAAGAATGTGTATCTGGCTGTGGCTATCTTACGGAAATTGGAAGAAATGAATTATGTTCTGCATTGAGCTGTCATCCATCGGGTACCGACATGAAGTTTGGGGTGTACACATCTCCTCCTTACACACTTCTGATTGGAGTTTATAATAATTCCATCTTTTTACTGGATACACATCCGATTGGTCAAGAGCTAGGTGGTACGGGAAACGGAATTGTGGTGTCGACAAAGGATAAAAGTATTCTTTCATGTAAGAAGATTACCCAATGGTTACTGAAACGTTTAAAAGTCAGCGGTGTGGATGAGAGAACGCCACAAAGTTTAGCTTGGCTAATTGATAAATAAATTGGGCTCACGAAACTATTATGTGCTATTATTAAAACGCTAATACTAGTGCAATTGACAGCAAAAATCTTTATTGTGTAACAGTTATTGAATTAGTAAGAAGACACCTATTAAGTGTGTAACACAAAAGTTTTGTAAACAGGTAGGATTTTTTTGAATTGTTGTATAAGTAAATGACAAATAAAATTATTAAAGGCTCACGGATCCGGAACTTAGAAAAGTGCGCAAAATTATGCTAAATTGACAAGTACTATCAAATTACACCACATGGCCTCACGATTTAATATATAAAGAAAACCATCTGCTGATCTGCCTTTCTGCCGCAGCAAAAGTTCAGTTTGACGCACGCATTGTTTTTGCAATTACACTCTAAATAAAATGTATCGATTATTTATAATGCGATTATTAGGAATTTTTAAAATATAATTTTTGCGTCTCTAGCAATTCAATCTGCGCTATAAAAGTCAATTAATTTAAGACAAACAAGCGAATATACGCGAATATTATGGTGAATATACGGCCTCCAATACAGCACAGTTTATAGACTAAGATGCGGCGAATTCGATCCTCGGCTTGCGTCATGTGATATGTTCTAGAGGTCTGGACACGAATGAATTTGGCCGGGGGGTTATCTTGTGTTAGCTTAATTAATATTGGCGGAGATTTGACGCTATCGTTCAACTCCGCCAATATTCAACATGTGGTAATTTTTTTCAACATATTTTGAACGTTAAAGTTGTGATGGGTGCTAAATTCGCGGCATGTTCAATGTCCGGTTTAACTTCAATGTCAAAAACACATGGGTGTTCAATGTCATATTTAACTTCAATGTCGAAATTATGTTGAATGTTCTGCATGTTCAATGTCAGATTTATCTTCAATGTCGAAAGCACGTAGGTGCTGAATGTCCTATTTAACTTCAATGTCGAAAGCATGATATACATGAATATTGGCGGTGATATGACGCCGTAGAATTTGGGGAGCAAAGGGGCAACTGGCCCCCAAAGAAAACTATATTTACGATTTTAAAATGTCGTTATTAACTTTTCTTTGGATATTTGGGACTTTTTTCGGCATATAGGCTTTATTGTCCCCTGATAAAAAAATCCTGCGTACGGCCCTGAACGAAACTCATTATATAACCCAACGTCATACATTCCAAATTTGACGAGTCGACTGGGACCGAGTTTTAAAGTGCCCAAATTAAAACATGAACCAAATCACTGGAAACAGCACCTCGAAATTAGTACACAAAGTTGGACGACGTTTGAATATATATAGTATCTTAATAGAATAATAAGAGCATTTACAGTAAAAATTTGTGAAATTTCTGCTTAAAACACTGTTTTTCGGGCGCGTGTCCACAAAAACAAAACTTCTGTACATTTCATCACAGAGGAAGTATAATAACAGTATACTTGCTCTGTAATTTTGTTCATCGATAAACATCGCGATTTTCGAAATCTTGTTATTCCAAAAGGTTTTCGTGTAAACGTCTTAAAACTTTGTATACTTACTTATTTTGAGGTGGTGTTTTTAGTGATTTGGTTCCTTCCAGGTCCCGAGCGCAAACGAGACATTATGCATATCGTGTATTCTATAATTGTAGAATACAAAATAAAACACTTTCCTAGACCTGCTACTTCAAGTACTGTAATTGTGTGCACGCTATGCATAATGCGACTCGTTCCAGGTCCTCAGCGCAAACCAGTTAAAAACTTTTTTTAAAGGTCTTAGTATAAACGACATTGGAAGAAGTTTTGGCAATGAAGACAATGAAGTCACTGATGAACGGACTGAAAGTTCGTGCGGCATTGTTGGTGATGGAAATATTGGTACTGAGGAAGAAGAAGCAACATTTCCGGAAAATAGGTATGTATGTTATAGTACGGCAGAATCACGCCATAACTCGGGACAACGTTTCAGTGAGGCGGAATGAAATAAAAATACGCCTAGCTCCCAGCTGCGCCTCTCGAATGTAGAAAAACCATTTGGGATGGTAAAAAATCGCATAAAAGAAACACTTTCTCATTTATTTTCTAGGCGGACACCATTGGATGTTAGTCAATGTGAGGAAGATGATGTGCAGATAACTAATGTATACGTAAGTTACCAGAAGCAAATTTGGAAGAGTTATCAGTAAATTATACCAGTTCACCTCGACAAATATGCGGCATGGTGAAGTGTTCGTATATTTATTCAATTTCAGTTCTCAAGAAATCTCAAGGTCAAACATAAAATAATGTATATTTTAATTTTTATATAGTCAATATCGTCAGGTATCACGACTTCAAGAAGTCAGAGCATCCGACAAAGCACAACCGTGGGTAATGAATCCAGTCAACAGGCAAATCAAAGTGATGACGACTTGGAAGTAACTATGGTCCGAACAGTAGATTCTTCAAACAGGTAATGTTGTGTGGTATATAATGTGCTGTAATCGATGAATATATCTATTACCCTTTTTAAAAACCTACCATTATTATCAGGGAATGTTGGTATTAACTTTTAATTAATTGGAGACTGTAAAGCCCCGCACAGACAAGAAAATTTTCCTTGCTGCGAATTCTTTCATCATTTCATAACTGATGGAATTCCTTAGGATACGCCTCCGCCGTTTTGATTTCTGTCTTTACTTACAATTTCGTAGTCCCCAGTGACTATACTTCGCTTGTACCGGGTGGCCCAAAAAAAAGTACTCCTGTTTGATTCGTAATAACATCTAAACAAGTATAGCTTTTAAAGAGAAATAACTTGCATCAACTAGAGGAAGGACTAACTTAGACTTTGATATATTACAGTTGTATTTCACTTAAAAATTCACAGAGATATTAATCTTTAAATTCGGGAGGATATTTCTGGATGTGTCTGAAATATGCAAAAATCGGCGTATCAAATATTAATCAAGATTTGCCCGACTGAAACATGCACTATTACCAGTAAATAAATGACACTTGACAAATTGTTTATTATGAAACAAAGTATTATTATATCTACAAAATACAAGCAAGATTCATTCGTCCGAAATTCGCGTGTGTTCCTAGCACGAATACGTTTCCTTATTTCATGAGACCACTGCATCGCGAAGGATCGTCATTGGATCGTTCGTAGTTCTGAATTAGGGCATGCTGTCACAACGGAATTGTGAAGCTCTTCTAACTTCTGCAACGTTCTGAAATCTTGTTAAGAACACCCAAACTCTTTTGCCGTTTCTTAATCTTGGCAAGTTCATGGAGTAAACTGAGAATTATATGAAACACAATCAAACCATACAACTCCATAAGACATAACAATTAAGCAACTCCCCAGAGACATGCAACATTTTTGGAACAAAACGTAACAAAATAGTAGCGTTGATACGGTGATGTGTATTTGCAAAAAGCAATATTATTTCCTTCAATAAAGAATATTCATCCTGCTCTAACCGAGAAATAATCTACTCAGTCTGTTTGAACCCATTAAAAACATAAAAAATTAGGCTATTTAAGAATACGAAAAATTTAAGCGCCTGCCTTCCATGGTCAGTCTTTCATGTACATTTAAGTTTGCAAAGACCTAATATTAAATACTTGCATAATTTCGAACGTTCATATTTCAGGAAACAATGAGCTAAGACTTACATGTAAGATGTCTAAATCTACGCATATCCCTTACAAACCTTAACGATAATTCGCTGAAATACAAGTTAGCCTAATATGTCATTAAGCAAACAAACGCTGGAGTAGGGTGAGGCGGTTTCTACAAAAAACCGAAAACCGAAAACCGACCAAAAAAACCCGAAAAAACCGAGTGAACCGGTTTTTTAAAAGAATACGTTCGAAAATCGAAACTAAGGTCAAAAAGACACAACACGCTACTCAGTACTCACACAAGACTTCGGTTTAAAAAACAATTATATTAACCCTTGCTACGAAGTATAAAAGGAACATGCAGTGTACAAGATATAATTTTTACAATAAACTATGTACAAATATTGAAATATTGCGTAAACCACTATAAGTTCTCCGCCAAGAAAACAAGTTTGTCAACTTTCTCCGGTTTAAGTTGTGCTCGTGCCGGCGTGCTAACTTGCCCCGCTTTACTGAAAAGTCTCTCCGACGGCGAACTGCTTGCTTGGATGGCAAGATACCTTCTCGATAACTGGCAGAGCAACGGTAGTTCCTTTGCATTTAATTTCCACCATTGAAGTGGATCGTCATCTCCGTCTATCACTGGGAATGCCGAGATATAGCGGTCAATCTCTTTGGATAGACGGCTACGCGGGGATGCAGCGGGCTTTTTTCGGTTTTTCCGGGTTTTTCGGTTTTCCGGTTTTTCTCCAAAAGTAACATCGAGTAATTCGGTTGTAAAAAAAATCGGTTTTTTCCGGTTTACCGAAAAACCGCATCACCCTACGCTGGAGTTAATATTTGATATGCCGATTTTCGCTAATTTTAGACACATTCCAAAATATGCTCCCCATTTTTAACATTAATATATCCGTGAATTTTTAAGTTAAATACAACTGTAATATATCAAAATCTAAGTTAGTCCTTCCTCTATTTAATGCAAGTTATTTCTCTTTAAAAACTTTACTTGTTTAGAAGTTATTACGAATCAAACAGGAGTACTTTTTTTTGGGCCACCCGGTATCAAGGCGAGTTTTATTAATGTAAATAACATCAAATTATTGTTTTTGCAAATATAACCGAAATTGATCTAGGACAAGGTGCTTGACTAAACTTTTGGCAATTGCGAAGCCTTTTAATTTTGTTAAATCGTCAGCCTAAATCTTGATCATAGCACATCAATTAAATTCATTGTGTATATAATAGAACATTGTTAATTTAAAGACTAATTAGTGCTTCAATTATTTTCTAGAAATGTTGGAGAATTTTACAATGGCAAACGGACACTGCCCGTCTTCGATTGGAACCCAAAAGCAAAAACGCCGATCGAGATATTCCATATATTGATGAAGCCTACAGAGGACTTAGCCGCGTGTAAAATTGTTCCTAGTTTGATATCGCACAACGTATGCTTTCTTTTGGATGTGAGAAACCTAGCATCAAAAAATGATTGGAAATCTGACGACATGGGCTCATGGAAGACCTAGCAATACGACAAACGACATGGGCTCGTACAACACCTAGCAATACGACAAAAAACATGCATAAACACCTAGTAATCCGACACAAAGTTCATATTAATCTGTTCCCAACAAGCGTCTTGCGTATAAGTCGTATTTTTAGCTACTTTGAATTGATTTCTGCTCTATTTGCACCCGGAGAAAACTCACGACTTTTGGCGGAGCGTTGACAGACTCTTTTCACATCGAATCCGTAGCGAGAATCGAACCCACGATCTCAGAGGTGAAAGGCGCTTCCTCTGACGCATGCGCCATCGAAGCCCGAATATTACTGGCATTAACAAAGAAACTTAGATAAAAATGAAGACGCTCTTGATAAATACGATTTTCCACCTCCCTCCATAATTTTAAGAAATAGTCCAAAAAGTCACAGTCCTCCCCCTCCCCCCCCCAACACTAATGCATGCATGTGAGACTTCAACAGTTAGGCCTAGGGTAACTAGGTAACTTTAGCCAATCGCTTTTTAGTGGTTGTGACCTTAAAAAGTAATAATTTAAGTTTTTTATACACTATTCTGCTTCTCGTCCTTTTTTACGCAATTCCGCGTTTTATCCTCATTTGCGGAATCCGCGTTTTATCCTCAAATGCGGAATCCGCGTTTTATCCTCATTTGCGGAATCCGCTTCCGGAATCCGCTTACGGAATCCGCATTCCGGTTCCGCGTTTTATCCCTACCCTGCGTCGGGTTATTCGTGACAAGTTGGATCGACAAAATTCCTCGTGTGCGGGCAACATTTACGGCATTTTCGTCATTCGTGACATTTATGTTTGATATTTTTCGTAGGAGCAAACGACAAGCGCGTCTGAATAGGAAAATTTGCGAGGTCGTGTCGAGGTCGTGTCGAGGTCGTGTCTTGTTTATAATTCTGCAAGTTGCACGCATGCACAAATTTTCCTATTCAGGCGCGCTTGTCGTTTGCTCCCCGCACACGAGAATTTTTTTGTCACGAATGACGAAAAATATCAAACATGTTTGATGTTTGGTTTACATGTCACGAATGACGAAAATGCCGTAAATGTTGCCCGCACACGAGGAATTAAATTCTGTCGATCCAACTTGTCACGAATAACAAGTACGCGCGACAAGTGCGCTCGTGTGCGGCGGGCTTAAGTTTACACTCCTGACACTGTCACAGCATTATACTTATTCACGGCAGAGAGTGAGTGTAGAACCACTGTCAATATTTTCATGGTTTATTTTTCTAATGTAAGTATACGAAAATCCATTATTCATTACTCAGAATGTACAAACACCCATTGGAACCCAACTATAAAATATTACGCCAATTCTTAATTTGCAATTAAGTAATATTGTAAAACAAATTTATATGTATCAATTACATAGTTCGAGCTGTACTTGTAATCACAGAATAAGGACCTATACTTGTAGTAAACAAAGGGGAAATCCCGCTTACGGGGGGTTGGTCCATCATTAGCATAACCTAACTTATGCGAGGCCTCCAGAGAAAACTAAAAGCGCTAAAGACAAGCTGATTTTTTTAAATACTGTGTAATTTATCAGGGAAGAATGAAAAATAATATTTAAAGGATATGTTAATTTTTGGCTGAGATAGAGCGTTTTTAGTATGCTGACTTGTCGACTGACCTGCGGTAAGTGATATATGTGGCTGTTCGACGACTCGTCTTGTGCAAGCTGTTCAGTCAAAGTTTAAATCGGTATAAGCTTAAAAATAATCTCATATGATGCGAATATTATAGGTAAAGAATGAAAAAAAATATTATGACGATAAAGTAACTTGTGGCGGAGAACGAGCGTTTTAAATCGCTAAGCGGCACGCGTGTTTGCAGTCTCCATCAATATGTCGCTGTTCGGTGACATAACTTATGCGAGGCCTCCAGAGAAAACTAAAAGCGCTACAGACAAGCCGAATGCTTTAGGTGATGTGCAAATTATCAGTGAAGAATGAAAAAATTTATTATAGCGTTACATTTATTCCTTACGACGATACAGAGATTTAGATAGGAACTAACCGTGTCTTGCTCAAGATTTAATTGACCCGACACGGTTTGGCGACTTGACTTATGCAAGCTGTTTAGAGCAATCTAGAAGCAGTAGCGACTTAGGGATTGCGTTATATGATAGTCCTTTTCTTGAAGAAGAATGAAAAAAATTATTGTTAAGATGGGTGAAGGCTTTGTGGAGTTAGAGCCATTCGAACACGAACGCCATGCCTCTGGCTCCAGATTCAATCTGAAACTAGAGCTGCGAATCTGAAACTGGAGCTGCGAATCTGAAACTGGAGCTGACTGGCTTCTCGTACCAACTTGCATGATTCCTGAGTCTATTCATAGTTAATATAATGGTCTATTCGAGTGGTTTCATGAAGGTGTTATAGTAGGAAATGCTACAGTAAATGCCGAGGATTGTTCTGATAAAAATTGGCTGTGGACGTCAATGTTAATCCTTTTCAAGTGCCAATCAGGACGATTAAATCTTTTTAGTGAGTACGCAACATGTCCTTTCTCTATGGTCACTGACAGATGCTTTTGAAAGTGTTATACCACTCTCCTCCGCAGAGGCTTTTTTGTTTTCTTTGTGTTCCCTATTATCTCCAAATGTCCACGATGCCCCCTTTTAACCCCGCGCGCTCGCTCCGCCCGCGTGCCCACTTCTCTACCTAGCCCGCTACTGCCCGCAAACTCTATAGTCAAACTTCAGTTATATATAGAACGAAAACAAACTACAATATAGAAAGAAAACAAACTACAAAGATCTACAAAGCCTCTGCGGAGGAGAGTGGTGTTATACAATTATTGTTCAAAACGTGAGGTTTCTGTTGTAAAAACATAGCCAAAATATCCAGAATTGCCACGACCAATAACGGAACTCCAACAAACGTATCTCATCATATCGAACCCGCTGTCAGATGTGGTGTTAGTTCTGCGGTTAATTTTGTTAGTGTTAATTATTTGAGAGCTTGGAATGCACTATGCGATCCTTAATGTTATGGTTGCGTTTGTAGGAAACCAAAGGGGGTTCGGGCCATAAAAGCTTTAGTGATGGTCTTGGTCAATAAGATGCCAGTATTTACGCAAGATAGATCCTATATGAGTGGTATTAGTGTTATATGGTACTGAGAACGTTAGTATGGGTTTATTACTATTAGGTTCATTAGTTAGACACTGGTTAGTAGAATTATCATCAATCCGAACAGTTTTATTCATATTTTCCTGATTTTCGTCAATTAATAGAATGGACTGAGTGTATTGTAGAGCTTTAGTAAAGTGTATATGCAATGAAAATTTCGATTTTGTGATTTTTGCATTATCTGAAAATTTCATCTTTTCTGATCATTTTAATACCAACCTTGTTGAAAACTTCGAACTAGAAGTTTGTGAATTTTGCGTTTAAAGTTGGGCTATGAAAATTTTAGCTGATGAAATTCCTCGCACGGCCAAGAGGTCATGATGACGTATGCAGTGTGACCACTGATCTGAAATAAGACTGGATAACGCATCTATGGTATACAAAAGTGAAGCCGGAAGTCACCGGCCGCCACCCGATTCTGGGGGCCCACTTTTGTATAGATTTGTATTACAGACGGTAGTTTTTCGCGTTTTTTGCATTGGCTACGTTTCCGATCGGGCCAATTTTACAATCACAACGATAGAAGCATACAAGAAGAATTTTGAGCAAAAAATTTGGAGTATTATGGCTTTATAACGCAGCGAAACGGGATTTATAACTCTGAAGGAGTGGAGAGAGCCTCAGACTTTGTTTATCAACATGAGCTCGTTTTGCTACTTTCATACAAAATCAACTCAAAATATACAAGAATTATTGTTGCTGGACGAAAATTCTCACGAAATTTGAAGAAATGAAGCAGCTACATTGTGAACGAAAGCGTACAGAGGTTAGTTTTAAAATACCTTGAGGCTACTTCCATAATTATATGAATTAAAATAACATATTGGTCCTTGTTTATAACTAGCTTGGATTAAAAATATTTCATTGTCACTTGTCTTCCTACTTTAAAACATATAAAACTTCTCGACAAGTCACCTAGGAATGCTTTTGGCAAAATTGACATTTAAAACTGTTCCTTATTAAATTCGTATAATTATAAAAGTAGCCTCAAGGTATTTTAAAACTAACCTCATAACGCTTTCGTTCACAATGTAGCTGCTTCATTTCTTCAAGTTTCCTGAGAATATTCGTCCAGTAAACAGTAATTCTTGTATATTTTAAGTTGATTTTGTATGAAAGTAGCAAACGAGGCTAACAAGCTCGTGTTGATAAACAAAGTCTAACCTCTATACGCTTTCGTTCACAATGTAGCTGCTTCATTTCTTCAAATTTCGTGAGAATATTCGTCCAGTAACAATAATTCTTGTATATTTTGAATTGATTTTGTATGAAAGTAGCAAAACAAGCTCGTGTTGATAAACAAAGTCCGAGGCTCTCCACTCCTTCAGAGTTGTAAATCCCGTTTCGCGGCGTTATAAAGCCATAATACTCCAAATTTTTTGCTCAAAATTCTTCTTGTATGCTTCTATTGTTGTGATTGTAAAATTGGCCCCTGTAATACAAATCTATACAAAAGTGGGGCCCCAGAATCGGGTGGCGGCCGGTGACTTCCGGCTTCACTTTTGTATACTATAGATGCGTTATCCAGTCTTATTTCAGATCAGTGAGTGTGACACAGTGCACTCTTCCTATCTGTAAATACTATAAACAATGTAGCTTCAACTGCGTTGAATTGGGATTTTTTGATAATTTAAACAAAATCCAAATAAATCTGCCTTATGTAGATGCGATACATTGGTTAAATCAATTCAATGATATCACCATACGACGATTTATCGCTTATAAGCCTCCGAAATGCGAAATCAATGTTATTGTAGCATAATTTGTAGGTTTCAGATGTCGTGAGTTGTCAGTGGCATATTGTAGATATTTTCGTTGTACATAGTCCATTGTAGATAGTTGGATATAGTTAGAATTTATACAGTCCCCACTATGACAGAATAGGCGAAATGAAATTAATTGAAGTAAACGAAGTTGAGTATACCGGAACGCAATAAACTATTAGGAAGAATAAAGTCTGGAATATAAGTACTAAAGTACCTCAGTTCGCACGTCATACAGAAAGCTCGTTGCTTGTTTACGCTTCAAGTGTGTCATGTTTTCGTGCGTTTGCTGAAATGTGCCGTATCTATATACTGTTTGCGCGCAATTTATTCTTAGTCATGCACTAGTTGTGCACTATAGCTGCGTCAAATGAATACTATTCTATAGGACGTAATTAATTTAATTCCTTTCTGGCCTTATCAGTCAAGAAATTATGTTTTCACAACAGGCGTATTAACGGGCAACCACCGAGGCCCGAGCGCACTATATATACTTCTTAGTCGATCATACTCACCCGAGTAATGAACCATTTATTTGACTAAGTTAATTTATATACTTATAATGGCTATAATTTACAATATCAATTTACGTAACATATAGTATACACTTTTATCACGTTCTGAGTTCCCTGCTGTGATCATTTATATCCAGTGTTGCTTTGAGACAGATACCTCTTCCTGATTTCATTATACAGGCATGCTGGAAGCGGTCTAGAGTTTTCCCATCCAAGCATGGCGAATATCCATCTCACTATCCACCGATATACGCCACTGAACGAAGGTATCTAAACATTAACAATCAAACACTGAGTTATTACCTTCATGAATGCACTGTTACACACGACGGTACTGTTATACACACTTTGTTTATATATTTCAAAATATTAATATTCAAAGCAATAGATTAAAATACATAGATTAAAATACATGTTTCAAAATCTTACAAAATACAACCATTTGCGATTATTGCGAATATATAGAAAATACTGATGAAAACTGACCAAAATTCAGTGAAATTAATTTGACTTACTCATTTTGCCCGTCTTGAGTTCTGCTTGTTGATTTGCGGTTATATACTGCTCGAGTGTTCGGTGCGTAACAACAGGATAGTCCCAGTGCTGTATAATACATTCAGCGTCTTTTCCATCGTACGTAAATTTGGCCATACATTCCAGTCGAATCTTTTCACAGCACCGGGTATCACTACAATCAGTACAATGCCCACATGTGTACCTAAAATCAATTGACATGTTAAACGAAACACGCTAATAAATAATTCGAGAAACGCTTTGATATTAGACTGCTTTGTTAAACTTACCATGAACTAACAGCTACGGTTTTCGTAAATCTCGCCTAAAGACCGTCTTCGCCTGTTTCGTCTTCCTCATAGTCATTAGTCACTATCAGCAACTGGCTCGAACAGACAGGGCTGTACAACAGACGATTGCGGCTCAACAACGTCCTCGTTATCTGTTGACTGTTCTGTATCTCTCTGTGATTCAAAGCTTTCGCTATCGGACATTTTTTGCGTTTTCAAGGAGAAATATACAAGCCACTGTCTTGCGATTAGTGATATTTTGTCACTCTCCTCCGCAGAGGCTTTTTTGTTTTCTTTGTATATATTAAAGTTTGACTTGCGGGCAGTAGCGGGCTAGGCAGAGAAGTGGGCACGCGGGGGGTTACGCACGCGGGGGGTGACGGGAAGAATGAAATTGAGGAAGCCTCTGCCATTTAATGTATCCAACATGGCGTCATATTTCCGAGCGAAGACTGGAACGCATTCCTTGCTCATGAATATTGAACAAAATGGCCGTGAATGCAAATGCAAATGCGATTCAGATTGTTTTGTCATTGGCAAATAGACCATTTCAAGAGGCGAAAGTAAACGGCAAGACAATATGTTCAGCGTGTTTTGACGATACGAATGACATTAAATTTTTCATGGAAGATAACGGCTTAACGCAGCATTTTAGAGTGAAGCACAGTCACTTGGTGCTAGATGAAGGCATAACCAAGCATTGTAAAATGCTTTTCCAAAACCTACATGGCCAAGAAACATCCAAAATATTAAAGCAACTATCCGCACTTCGACTAAATACGGTAAGAATGTACTTCGCCATTTTATATGTCTATAATCTTTTATGTTAAAAGTCTTGTTTTGATAAGACCTAAAAGTCTATGTAGAAGTTTTCAAGCAAATATTTCATTCAATAATTTACATTTTACACGAGAAGTGTTTCAATTGTAATTTAATATTTTGTTTGGAGTTTATATACAGTATGAATCATCAGGTTGGTTTAATGAACAGACAGAACAGTTTACGAAAATGTGAGAATATAGCTTGAGGATTGCTTAATATAATAATATTGTATTACTGGAAATTTATAGGAAACTATTGGGCCATTCCATTTAATATATCCAGACACTTCAATAGTTGGAGCGCACATCCAATGGGGGAGAAGGGGGTCTTCATTTTAAATTTTCATATTTAAAGAGGGTAGCTTGAGATTTTAAGAAAACGGCAAAAAAATATGCATTTTAGTGATATTGAAGAGGGAAAAATGATATCTTAAAGGGGTTAGTAAGATATCCTCTGGGGTAACTTCCACAATGACCACAAATTGCATCCAATTGCAATTGCATCCTAAGGGGGGTTGAAGGGTGCCTATATTAAATGGAATGGTCCATTGCTAAGAGTTTGGAGTTTGGTTCAATATTTTGTTCATTTAAATTTTTTCACAGAAAGGTTCATGCAATTCTAGTTCAGAAATGTATCAAGAATTTTATGTTGTACGGATTGATGAAATTGACAGTATGGGCATGGAAATTGCAGCCAAATGCAGAAGAGAAGCAGCAAAGTTGTATGGTTTGCTACTTAAACATCACGGCCTTTTAAAGCATTT